AAGGGCTCTGCGCGAGTAATTTTTGGAGGGGCGTGCGCCCTCCCGCGTACCACTAGATACGCCACTGTTCTTAAGTACAGTTAAGTAAATGATTTGTACGTCAAAGAATAATTTACCTTTACAAGTATCTGAGCGTACACAGCTGGCAAGGAGTGTGTTGTACACTGCTTGTTGTCTTAATGCTGTAACTATGGTAATAGCTTGACTTGTACAGGTGAGTGGAATAGTTGATACAATTACACCTTTCATATCTTTATTGCATTCATTGATGAAGTAACAGTGCTGCTCACCTGGCAAAGTCTATAATTAAAAATATGTCAACAAAAATTTGGGAAACAATAGTGTAACCAGGGATATTCAACAGAAGGACACACATCTCGGGACATCAAAGGTTGTAACTCTGGCATCGACATTCTAGGTGCCGCGCGTCCCTACACGCAGAACGTCACAGAAACCATAGCAACGAGACCATTTAACCATTGCTATAACTTTTCATTTTCTTGGTCAATTTTCACAAATCAAAAGCAGTTTATAGAAGCATTTAACAAGCTCGCAGCCAAAAGACATTGCGAAGTACCCAAAATTAGTAAAATAGTAACTAACACCATAAAACGTATGGCACGCATAGACTAACAATTGACAGCTGTACTCACAATCTAGTATTGGCTTGTCGATGCCACATTAAAGATCAAAGGATGCACGTGCTATGTTCGTGTGTAACATTGTACAAATTTTTGTATTATGCTTTTACACCTTAATAGACATACACTCACTACAATCATCGATATTTACTTCAATTATCTCCACAGCGTATATTTAATCACAATAATCATAATCCTCGTCATCATTATCGTATTCCTCGTCATCACCATCATCATCATCGTCATCATCATCGTAATCCTCACCATCATATTCCTTGTGATTATCATGGTAATCCTCATCATCCTCATCATCATCATCGTCGCAATCCTCGTGATCATCATCATCATCATCATAATACCCATTATCATCGTAATCCTCATCATCGTCATTATAATCGTCCTCATAATTATCATTGTAGCCTTATGATCATCATAGTCCTTGTCATCACCATCCTTATCACACCCCAAAAACACAGACTTACCACATAGAATTTATTATGCGAGTTTGGTCTGGTATCTAAAAGTAACGTTGGGTCCTGAGCATGCCGACATATTAACGAATTAAGCGGTTCAGCTGATGCCATGCCTTAAAGTTACACATAAGAAAATGAGTTTCAAACATGGAAGAGAGACAGATCATAATAGTTTGTGTTTCCATGGAGTTTATTCAAAGGTACAGGAGGAAATGGACAGGCATGGAGGTCAATTACAATGAAAATGTTATCAATTACAATCATAATTACCAGTCACAATTTTCCCGATTATAATTACAATTACATTTAAATTTTCTCGCCTACAATTACAATTTCCATTTTGATGTTGCAATTACAGCACATATAAAATCTGGACTTACTATATATGTAAAACAGAACATACGCCTTTTCCTCATTGATATGAGAACTGACGTTGGAATATTATGTAAAATATTCCCACCTGAATCACTTGCAATTTCTAGTACGATAACACATCACTCAAAAAATAAACTACAACGATGCTGATATAAAAACGAACATACTTTTTTAACTTGACTTTAGAACGCAGCCTTTGATTGTAGTCTAACAAGCCTTTCTCACTAGCAGGCCTTGCAATTCACCCTACAGTCTGCCACTGCATATGAGTAGGATTAACTGACTGTGTGATATCGCCTTTTTATGCCTTAACCATAACATCCCTATTATAAAATGGTTTGTTCCATTGTTGTGGTTTTTATTCCTACTGGGATTTTTCCTACACCCAAAATTAAAGGTAAACTACATAGGTAAAACAGGTAATGCCAAATGCTTGAGATGCTTATAAAAATACATACTAAAACATTCCTAATGTTATCAAATAAACATCTGAAAATTTCTGACCAATCTGCACTATGCTACAGTAAAAAAAAAATTAATATTTTAGTGCAGGAAATTTTCAGTGAGTTGGAGGAAAAGCTAGCTCATTAAAATCTATGCTACCTCAAGTAGTTATGGGTTACAATTATCAAATTAATGTACTTATTTGTTTGCATGTAATACTTAAATCATGAGTAAATAAAAATTCAGATTGTGAAAATGTACACTGTATTATATTTTAGATACATGATTTACGTATTTATACAGTATTATTCATGGGTCACATGATGTTAAGGGATACTGTACTTTATGCCATTTTTCACATGTCCATGTGCCACACACCATTGATATGTAAATTATTCGTAGTTAAGAGCTCTTGGCTCTCAATGCGTCGGGAAATCATTCAATGCAGGAAATTTTCAGTGAGTCGGCGGAAAAACTAGCTCATTAAAATCTATGCGACCTCAAGTAGCTATGGGTTACAATTATCAAATTAATGTACTTAATTAGTTTTCATGTAATACTTAAATCATGGGTAAATAAAAATTCAGATTGTGAAAATCTGTATTACTGTATTATATTTTAGATATACATGATATACGTATTTATACAGTATTATTTATGTGTCGCATGATGTTAAGGGATACTGTACTTTATGCCATTTTTCACATATGTGCCACAAACCATTGATATGTAAATCATTCATAGTTAAGAGCTCTTGGCTCTCAATGAGTCGGGTAATCATTCAGTGCAATAAAGGTTTGGCGTTGGGTCAAAACGGATGATTGTCATTTGATAAGCCAAGAACTAATGAAAAATACTGTACCGGTAGATGTTTTGGATAGGAAATAATTATGTTTACCTACACTGAGCAACATTACAGCAACTGTGGCCTCACAGTTGTTGTAAGTAGACCAAAGGAGTATTGTAATGCGGGAAGCTTCATGCTTCACAACTGCTATAGCAAAATACAGCTGACATGTATTGTGGCCCATGCAAAGTTGAGGAACATTACATTGTTTTCAACTCTGAAAACATGTTAACAGTCTATAACAATGTGAAGTTAATAACATAAAAGGAAGGGGTATTTTAAATGAAGATATATGAATGGTAATATTTGAGTCTGTAGTAATTTACCTGTGTGACTATATTGATATCATCATCATCATCATGTTAATATTCTGATCATCATCAAGACACTGAACAAAAAAATTCTTTTAAGAACTAACTTCTTACAATACTGCAAGTATTTATCATCATCCTTTATAAGCATCTACATGCTTATCATCATTACTATATTACTTTGAATATGGAATGGAGCCATTTTGAACATAAGTATAGGTGTTCTGACAATAGTGCAGTAAAAGACAAACAACAGAGATACATTGAAGAAGTTCTACTAGACAGACGTGTATCCAACGCTTATGTTTCGATCCCAGTTAGGACGCATCAACTTCTAGGTGATTTACTGATGTGATGCTCTCTGAAGCGAGGGAGCATTTACTGTACGTGAGACTGAGGGTAAAAGTCTGGTGTTAAAGGACAATGTCAAAGTCACACATTGTAAAATGAGACTTTTTGACCATTGAGAGCCAAGGTTTGTAACCTGTTAACTTCTGAGATGCACTTAGTGTAGTTTTTACTTGCATAAAATTTGAACATTTGACACTTGCGAGCTAAAAATCAGCAGTATGGATTTGAAGGTCAAATCTAAACTAATCGGACATCAATATGAATTCCTGGATATCTACTATACAGTACACTGTAACTAACTGGAATGTTATAGCCAATATAACTAGCTAAAAGCTTCATTTTCTATTACCTACAAATGCTGACCTTTCAACACCTGTGATGACCACAGCAGCATTTTATTTGAAGGTCAAACCTAAATCTACAGGACATGAAGTATGAATTATTGAATGTAAACAGCACAGAACACTGAAATTTTATAAAATGGAACAATTGACCTTTAACCACAAACATTGACATTTGACCTCCAAGGTGACCTCATCACCATTTTTAAATTTCAGCACTTTTAGAAAGCATTTGAAAGTCAAACCTAAATAATTTGGAAATCAAATATGAATTTCTGGATATTAACAGTACAATACACTGGAATAATGTATCAGCCCAATTACCATTAACATATGAAGATGCTGAAAATGACATTGTGTTGTGTAGGTAGGCAAAGTTTGTATCATTTTGTATGTAATGTCATGCTGAATTGACTGATCGACAGTTTTTAATTTGAATTTTTAGGTGTTCTCATAGGGCATCTTTGAAGAGCTGGCAATTGGCTGGACTGATTATAATAAGCATTTCTACTATGACCAAAAGAAAAAACACATTCAATATTTATTGAATTAATGTTTTTTATCAAATTAACCAATTAAAACAATGACAACAATTATCTTGTATATTAGTTTTATTAATTAAAATTAAATGGATCACAACTGATTTCATAGATATGTATGATTGTGATCCTGTTACGCATCCGACAAACACCATTAATATTCGTTCACTTAGAAACAAGTAAAATTTGAAAATCCAAATCAGATTATTCTTTATAAAATAATTAGTAAAATTTATTATTATTATGGTGGTAATAAGATGGTAATTAGAGGAGTAGTGGAGAGAGTAAGGGTAATGATTATGATTACAACAAGATGATTATCTTGTTGTGTTGGAAATGTCTGTTCCTATCTATTACTAAAATAATTGGTAAAATTTTCACAATCATTCTTTCAGTAATAAACAAAAAATCAAGCAACATTCATCCAAATCTTGATTGTGAAAATTTTACCAATTATTTTAGTAATATATAGGAACAGACATTTCCAACACAACAAGATAATCTGAGATTACAAACCCTCGCCCTACTGTCGCACCATATCTTTGTATCCGGTGAATGTTGTTGTACAATAGGCGTATAATATTACTGGTTAAATGTATCAGGTGAAATGTGGACAAGCAGTAAAGATGCAAGATGGTATTTACTGTAAATTTCCTTATTATTGAATTTTTAATTATTCAAATGAGCAATTAATATATTCACACATGTACCAAAAACAATAGGCTCCATCTTCACACAACCATCTTGCATTCTGCCAAGTTTTAAATCATTCGGACTTATAAAATTTTAGTTATCTTGGAGACAACCAATTTGCCCAACAACTACGACAAAGCCGACAGCATAAAGAAGAACATGGCTAAAACAACAATTCCGGGAGGCTATTTTAAATTTATGCGAAGTTGACATAGGCAAGGTTAACACCTTCAATGTAATAAAAATAATTGTGAAATCATTGTATTCTTCTGTAATACGGATATTTAGCATTACAGTAGAACCCTTATTACGGGGACATCTTCGGGAACAAAAAAAGTGTCCAAAAAACAAAAGACTGAATATTTCAAACTGTAAAATTACGAGAAAAAAAAAGGCCAAGAAAATAAAGTACTTACTATGATTGATTGCTAGCCTCTTAAAAAGTATCGTAGACAATGGCATTGGTTTGTTGAGTTTCAATACAAAGCATGCTGGTAAATTCATACAGTTGCTGTTACTTAATGGTACAAAGGTGTAGAGAGGTCTAGAAAAAAAACAATTCAGTAATTTATACAGATATGTTACATCATCAAATGATAATGCATAATTGATTGATCATAAATATTTTGTCTATCACCCCTATTACTATGTTGTCAGCACTGTTGTTCTCAAATTGAAGGTGGTGCTTCTGATTCCTTTGCATTAGAGATCTGCTTTAGGCTTTTTAGCTATCTGTTTTTAGTTTCTAAGATTTAGTACTACTGTAGAAGTTTATGATCATTAACAATGTATGAGACCATTATTATGCAGGAGGAAATACAGACGCAAATGTTGGGGGTGGGGGTGGGAAATGTCAGGGAAGCACATGTCTGGGAAACCAACTGTATTTGTTCACTATACATGTCGAAATCATTACCCTTACTCTCACCACTCACTCCTCTAACTGTCTCTTATACACATCTAAGAAGAACATGGCTAAAACAACAATTCCGGGAGGCTATTTTAAATTTATGCGAAGTTGACATAGGCAAGGTTAACACCTTCAATGTAAGTGTGTTTTTATGCATTCATCAAATTAATCAAATATTTTTTCAGATGCATGTTTTTCAATTTTTAATAGAGGGCCCTGAATATCAGCTGGCCTTCTTGGTCCAGTTGGAAGTGTCACCCTCTATAAATAAAGTTTGAATAATGAATCCATCGCCACTATCATCATGAATAATCATAATTTTCAAGGCAAGACTTTATTATACAGTACCTTGTTTAGCAAACCCTCTGACGGGAAATAATGGTGATTTCATGTAAATAATAAAATGTTATTTTTGGCCAGATAGTGCACAGCCAAAAAAAAAAAAATTGAAATTTCAGAAAAAATTTGTTTATTTTTATTATGCCCTCCCCTCCTCTAAAACATCCAAAAATAAGATCTATTAATTTCTTCCTTAATTGTAAATTTAAAGCATTTAGCAATCTCATATACTACACTGTTTATGCCTTGATGCTTTCAGCAAACTCATTTTGCTAAATAGAAAAAAAAATAAATATATTTTTTTCCCACCCTCCTCTGACAATCTTAAAATTGTAGGTGGCTAAACAAAGTATTAAAAAATCTCACCCAACCATATAACTATATACTGCCACCATGACCTTTTGTAAAAATGGTAAAAATATTAAATTAAATGATATAATTTACCCCTTTTTTCCATCTGGTGATATTGCAACATTTAATGTACTGCTGCTCTGTAATCTTCTACTTTGTGAGCCATTTACAATTAAACTGAATGACAAACCCATGTCTTCTGCGAGTGGTTCTGCAAGTACAAGACAATAAAGAAGACAAACTTAAACATGGTACAGAGAAGAGATAACTGTGCATTTATAGATCCCGGCATACAAAAGTCATGCTAAAACTAACTAGGACTAGGTAGGCAGATCTGACAGACTAACCTAGCCTAATTAGCTTTCAATTAAATAAAATTAAAAACATCGTTTTGGTTCAACCATTTATTATAACCAGGGACTAAATTATAAATCATTAGATTTACCAAGGTCTCTTTAATGGGACCTTTGAACATATTGTCTTTTTTTCTTTTTCTCTATATGATGCACACATAGGCCTACTTACTGTGTAAGAGATAAAATCACATGAGCTTTTCTAAGAGGGGAAAACCTTGAATTATGAAGAAATTAAGTCATTAAAAGACCAATCAAAAGTTGGGAAAGCTTATTTCCGGCCATTTAGTAATCAGAAAACCCCTTTTTATGGGTACTTTTCAGAAAAATTTGAACCCCCTTGCTTCCTGGTACCACCTCTAACTATAATCGATCAAAGTAACCAAAAAGATGAAGAAAATAGGCCTAATCAGACGGAAGCCTTTGCAAATGTTAACATGAACAATAAGCGAATTAAATGCAAATTAGATACTGGTGCACAAACAAATGTTATGCCAGTAAGAGTATTTCATGAAATATTTCCAAAGCGAAGAAGATAGCCTGAAAAAGCCACAACAAAATCTATACGCATATGGAGGCAAGCCTTGAAAACCTGGGAACTATCAAAATTGAATGCACACACGACCAAATATCAAAGAAATTATTGTTTAACGTCACTTCCGAAAACGGAACCACCATGTTGGGTCTAAAAACTTGCCTAGATCTAGAAATTATAACACTGAATGACGTCATCAAAACAAAAAATGAATTAGGATTTGACATTCAAGAAGTTCAGGAAAGAAAATCGATTTTCATTGAATATGCTGACTGCTTCGAAGGAATCGGAGAGTTCCAAGGTGAATACAAGATATAGTTAAAGAATAACGCGAAAACAGTCATACATCTGCCACGTTGTGTCGCAGACTCACTCAAAGCAGAAGTCAAAAAAGAATTAGACAGAATGCTGAAGTCAGAAATCATAAGGAAGGTTGACGAACCAACCGATTGGGTGAAAAGCAGTCTACAGTCGACCTTCCCATTTACGAACTTCTCATTTAAAAACCTTCTATTTTATGAACGTTCGGCTGATGACGTCATCGCTAGATTTATTCCTCTAATTTTTGCTATTTTTATTTATTTTAAGAAAAACGAATTACAAAGGTCATTAAAAATGCATTATAGTACTAGTTATACAGTAAATTCCATAAATACATCATACTACTTTAGGCTTAGAAAAGTCAAACCAATACATGATGTAAAATAATCAAAACTAGCCAAAATTCAGGCAGGCAGTGCTTGCTGCTAGGCCTACCTTGTCTAGGCTAAGGGCAAGGCTGGGCAGCCTATACCAGGGGGCCTACTCTACTCTGTCTTATGGTTACCTGCGGTCTAAATGGACTGTAAATCGAATCAGCTAGTCCAAGTATAAATGTATGGTAACATTAATCTTTTATCCTTTTAATAAATCACTGTTCGGACATTCAATAAGCATCTGCATTATTTGATTTTCACTGTCAAAAAACTAATTACAGACGATCGGGCACATTTTTGGACAATCGGGCCCAACGGGTCGTGACAAAGTGCGAGCCAGCGAGCCAATGCGCGAGCCATACATTTAAATCCTTTTTCTTTTACACCGGGGATATTTGCCTGTGTAGTCCAGTCATGCGCAGTACATACACTTTTTCGAATTGTCGATCCGGAAGTATGCAGCGCTAATAGAGATGTTGTTAAAATACATATATTTATATATATGTACTGTATTTATTTATATATCTATTTATATATATATATATAAATTATTTTATATATTTTTATATTTATTTGTATATTATATATATTTATTTGTATATTCATTTATATATAGGCCTATGTATATATTTATTAAATATTTATATATTTATTTATATATTTATTGTAATTATTTATATATTTATATATATATTTATTTATATATTTGTTTGCATATTTGTTTGCATATTTTTTGTATATTTATTTGTATGTATTTATATATATTTATATATATTTATGTGTATTTATATATTTATTTATATAATTATTTAATTTATTTATATATTGTTTGTATATATATATATATATATATATATATATATAACATGTTGGTGAAGATCAAAAGATATCCAATCCACGTATGCTTCAATATATATAAAATAAGTAAGCAGAACAGAAATAACATTCTTCACAAGGTGACTACTTTGAAGCATATATTTTATTAAAAAACCAAATTTTCGAGAGCGCCTGCTCCCCTCTTCAGGGTTACAATTGAAATGACTCAAAACAGCATTTAAAGACTAATTAAACAGCATAGGCTTAAATGTATATGGCAAATAACAATCAATATAAACTATTACAGATCAGTGACAAATAGAGAGATAGCAGTGGTGGGAGAATATGGGCCAGAATAAACAGTTTAGAGGTGAAAGGTGAAGTCAGCTAGAAAGTCAATATCTTTGTTAAGGCCATGAGTGTGAGTTTTTAGCTTGATAATCCAGGAAAGTTCAGAAAGGCGGCGATGATGAGTGGAGTTGAAGTTAGATTCGATAATGGTAACACGCAGATTGTTAATAGAGTGATGGGGCAAATTAAAATGTTGGGCTACGGTTTTGTCAGAAACATTTTACAAAAAATCCTCATCACCGATCAGACCATTCGTATCACTAACCACTCCATAAAACCTCCCAACCTCACATGCGATTCTCACAATATAATTTATTTAATAACATGTAATATTTGTAACAAAGGCAATTACGTTGGCGAAACCATGAACCCTCT